CCCCAAAACCCCAAAACCCCAAAACCCCAAGAGATTCTAAAACTATTGATTTTTAATTGATAAATTATGAGAGAAATCATTACCATTCACGTCGGTCAATGAGGCGTCCAAATTGGCAACTCTATTTGGGAGCTGTTTTGAAAAGAAAACAATCTTTTCAATGATGGAACGTTACAAGAGCAAAATGAACCTGAAAGTGTAGATAGAGATAATACAATGTTTTATGAGAGTTTAGAAGGGAAATATACACCAAGAGCTGTATTTGTCGATCTTGATTCTGATATATGAGATGAGGTGAGAGTTGGAGAGCTAGGTAAACTTTTTAGTCAAGAACAGATTCTGAATTGGAATGAGAATGCAGGAGATGTATTTGCCAGGGGTAGATATGCAGTTGGAAAGAAACTAATTAAGCAATGTCTGGATCAAATCAGAAAAACTGCCAACCAATGATGAAATCTCCAAGGGTTCATCGTAACTCATTCGATTAGTGGAGGAACTGGATCAGGGTTTGGATCATATATCCTTGAAAACTTGTCAGATCAATATTCGAAAAAATTAAATTTATGCTGAACAGTATTCCCCTCCCCAAATATGGCAACATCTGTTGTAGAGCCTTATAATTATGTCCTCTCGTCTGAAGCTTTGAGGTCATTTTCAGATTTAACTCTTTGAATTAGCAATGAAGCTTTATATCGAATCTGAAACGATCATCTTGGGATTCCAAGCCCGAATTACTTAAATCTCAATCGAATAATTGCGCAATTATTATCATCAGTGACAATATCTATGAGGTACGACGGGAGTCCGAATACAGATCTTACTGCCCTCAAGACGAATTTAGTTCCTTACAATAGCATTCATTACATTTTGCCTTCTATGGCTCCTCTAATTCCAAGCTACAAACAACACAAGCTAACCAAATCAAACGAGGAACTCACTGTTGATTGTTTTGAACGCTCAGCAGTCATGGCTAAATGTGATCCCCTTTATGGAAAATATATCGCTTGATATCTTCAATATAGAGGACAAGTTCTACCTAAAGATGTATTTTCCTCAATAACAACTATAAAGAGAAGCAGAAGCATCCAGTTTGTGGATTGGTGTCCAACAGGATTCAAATCCTCTTTGAGTCGTTGTAAGGTAAAAGAGGCTGGGGGAGAAGAACTTGGTGGATACTTGAAATCATGAACAATGTTAGCAAATTCAACCTGTCTCGGAGAGATATTCTCTCCTCTCAATCATAAATTCGATCTGCTTTATTTTGAAAGAGCATTTGTACACTGGTTCTTAGATGAAATGCCTGAGTACGAATTTGGATACAGAAGAGAAGACCTAGCCTATCTTGAAAAAGACTACGAGGAGATTGCCGTGGACAATTCAGATCTATAAATCCTCTAACTAATAAATAGCTAATTTCTATTATTCCTATTTCATACGGGGTTTTGGGGTTTTGGGGTTTTGGGGTTTTGGGG